CTATGGTGAGGTGAAAAAGAGTGAACTACGAAAGTGTTGAAAGTGGTGGGATGTGTCTTTTCGTTGAGGGCGATCAACATCACAACAGAAATCCCCCTCAGTTTAGACCTATTGTTCCCAAGAATAACACAACTGCACTACAGCGTCTTCCACAATTTTAAAAAGTTGGAACCATTTATAAATGTGGGCTTAGGGTTGGTGTTTCAGAAAATATGTCTAAAATTTATTACTGAATTGTGCTTGAAGGAAAGTGGAGTGTAAATGGTTTTGTTTCCTGGCGAATAATTGTTAGCAAATTTTTTTGCTTTGCCATCAATGGAAGGAACTGTGGGAAGGCCAATAAGTGATTTCCACTTTTCTTTGCTGGCCCCAATCTCCAAACGGGGAAGTGGAACTGATGATGATGATGATGATGATGATGATGATGAGTGAATGATGTTTCAGCTATGTACTGATGCAAAAAGTTAGGAAGTGTTCCTTTTGCAGTCAGGTACAATTAAATGATTTAGGCAAAATTAAGGTTTTAAAAACCAGGTCTCAGCAACGCATCAATTTCAAAACAAATCTGTCAGTGCATAAAACTATACACAAAAAATTGTCAACTCTGATATATGTGCAACTGAAAACAGACATTAAGATATTCTGTTTGTGTTTACCGCCTTACAACTAATCAGTGAGAGACTCGCAATCAATCCCCCAAAATGAAGAGACCTTTTTACCAACATTGAGGGTAGAAAAATATATCCGTTTCTTCAAGCCTCATATAACAAATTTGGAGCAATTTGAGTTTTACTAATAGATGACTTGATTTTTTCATTTCATGGGTACTTAAAAAAATAGTAACTGAGGAAACATAAACAATAATAGTCTTATGAATAAAGTTTAAAAGTTAACAATGGATTAGAAAATATACAGTGTGTCCATCACTTACAAAACAGGGGCTAAGCAATGAAATTTTCACCTTTCAAGAACAAGTGGTCAACCTATAAATTTCTCCTTACTGTAGTAGTAATACATTTTGAAGCAGACAGACCAAGTTAAGAAAATCATTAACCAAGGGAGACTGTTTCAAGTTCAAATTTTCCAACTATATTGTCAATATACAATGTCCACAATGACAGTATGTAAATTGGAGTAAATGACTGTAGGAGGCATCGTCTCTCTCATAACTTGTAGTTTTGCTATGTACAGAAGAAGCAGCCCTTTGATTTTGTCATCACCAGTGTGTGGTCATGTTGAACATGTGTAGAAAATGTTCTGCCTATTGGGGTTCACTGCAATGATTTCTGGATCCACCATTCAAAGGGAACTTGATGTATAACAATTTTTATTTGCTCAGCTACTGTTGCAGTTAGTGCAACTACAGGCACCTTTGCAAATATGGAAATGATGATCACACAAACAATACCACCATTCACTGTAATAATAAAATTCCACCCTCAATTAGAGAAGGTGGGGCAAGACTAAATAAAGAAGCTAAGTTACATTTCTTGTACACAAAAAGCCATCTACAAGAAGACATGTTGAGTATTTCAAAAAAAGGTACATTTTATTTGTCGCATTCTTTGGCCCCAAAGCATATCTGCTGAGCAAAATTCATTCACTTACAAAGCCTTATATTATACTGTAGTAAATGGGAATAGTTCAAGACAGATATTAAATACTTGCCATCCTACGAGATATGCTTCATCAATCACCACAGCTCTCATATTGTGTCTCACATCTTTACAATCCCATAACTTCCTTTACTATACATTGTAGTCACCATCTGTCTTCTCATTGGCTAAAAAGCCTACAGTTAATTCTGGGAAACAGTGCAACCTACAGATTATTCACCAATCTGCTAGCAGATTACTGAATAATCTGTAGGTTGTGCATGCAATGCATGATTTCCAAGAGTTATTTTCTTTAAAACAATGCATAATTAACAAATTGACATTAGTTTTTTATGCGTCTGTCCTCTTATGATGATACATTGCATCTTAACATCTCAATTTGTTATCACAATAACAATACCCCAAAATGGTCAAATGCCGGGAATAATTGAGGGGAAAAGATGCGTAAACTTGCCGTAAACAAAGATAAGTGAATTTTATTCAAAATGACGCGAACATTGTCAATAGGTTTTCTCGCTTTTTGATTGGCTACTTAAAAAAGTCCATAACATCTCATTGGTTAAAAAGTTGACAGTTTGACAGCTGAAAATTGAACTTGAAAGCTTGCGTAAATTAAAATTTATCCATCTGTACTCTTATTGATGATAAAAATGAGCCAATCAACGCACGAGAAATCAGACAGTCATTGTAAAATAAAACAATTATGAGATTCCGTTTTTGTGATATCCGAAATAATCAAGGTCTCCCAAATTAAAGTGTTATCAGCCTCAGCCTTCGGCTTCAGCTGATAACACTTACCTCGACCTTGATTACTCTGGATATCACAAACACCTCATCCAATAATTGTTTATAATTTTCCAACAAATATGCCTCCGGGTGGCCATAAATTATTGGATACTTCGATTGCTTGATATCTTGATATCTTTAACTTAACCTCGCTCAATGACTCATTCCGAACAATTAGAAAGCTGACCTGCAAATCGTTTTGCTTCACGGTCTGATCTCGCATTTAAAGGCGAAACAACCAAAATAAATTTAACGATACAGTTGATCCATGCCAGGAATCAAAAACAAAGGGCATTAACTGAAAAATCAATGACCGTTGCCAAAGGAGGTACGAAAATAGTGTCTTTCTTTAAAACAACAATGTTCCTTATCACCTCTTTCTCTTCTACACTGACGGAAGCATTCTCCAAATTGATACCATTCGAGGCCTCGAATCCAGCCTCGACGGCCGCCATTGTCAATCCAATACACTATATAGAAACATCACGACTGCTCACGACTGCATACATGATGACCGGAAGTCGTAGAATCTGGGACTTTCTGTCGCCCTTCGATTCTGTGCCAAGGCCCCGCCGGCTAAGAGAAGCGAAAAGGGCTATGGGGACGAAAATGGTTACATCTGAAGCCTGAACTTTATCCTCAAACTCAATCGTTAATCCGGCGTCTGGTTACGGAATCTGAAAAGGTATGAGCACGTTTGTCCATAAAACTAATGTCGACGTTCTTAAGGTTTAGGATCACGTTTGTCCATAAAACTAATGTCGACGTTCTTAAGGTTTAGGATCACGATTAGAGAAAGATCTTGCGAATGTTGATTACTTATTCTCAAACAAAACTCTACAGCCAAAAAAAGATTCTGGAGTACAGAAGGAAAACTTGGTAAGGCAACTCTGGCTAATTCCATGGATAACAACTCTTGTCTTGAGCCTAAGGATCAATTTTATTTCATTAACCTTATTTCTAAGAAACAAGGATTATTTTGACAGTGAAAGCTTTGATCTCTGTGGGTTGAAAACTAGTTAGCTATCCACAAGTCATTTTGAATATGCATGGTTCAATTCCACCTGTTATCATCTCCCCCCAGGCATACCCCCGGGGATGTGGCATTTTTTTCTTAATCAGTGCACGGCCTATTCCCTGCCCCCAGGCACAAAAAAGGAGACAATTCCCAGCAGGTCTCTGTAAAATGTGGACCGGATGGCGGCAAATGGTGGTGGCGGATGGCAGCGGCAGATGGCGGATAGTGAATTGAAAAATGCAGATGACAAAATGTGGATGGAAAAATGTGGATGGAAAAATATGGATAGAAAAATGCAGGTGTAAAAATGTGGATGGAAAAATTCTAAATGACAATGTGGGGATGATAAAAGCCTGATGAGGGGAAATTAACTGCGATGTTGATTGTTTTCTTGGCGGCAGTTGATTTTCAATATTTTTAGGTAGGGAGAAGTGGAATATCTGTCAACGGAATTCTATCATCACATTAAGAAAACTCTTGTTTCCTCTGATGGCTGGCAGTGAAAATATCTGTGAGATTGATGCCCTTTTTGGTGGGCTAAAAGGTCAAAGAGAAGAATAAACTATTGTCTACAGAAGGAGTTATGGTATGGTTTATGATTACTTGTAAAACCTTCATTCAATCCTGAAATATTTTTGGCATCATTTTTTTTTGTCATTTTATTGACGCATGCCATCTCTGATATAGCGGAGTTCACCGGAAAGAAAGCGCAGTGCTATTTTTAGGGCTTCTATATTAGGTAGAATTCAATTTCTTTGACTATTTTAACTGCATGAAATCTGTATCAGAGCAAAATAAGGAGAAAAACCTGGACAAACACTCTTTAAAATGCGCTCTGTACCAGTTTGATATAAGTTTGATTGACCAAGCACAGGTAACTTTCACCGGTCTTTGAGGCGGTCTTTGAGGTCATGTTGTAGAGTCTTTTGCATATGCAAACGCTCCATGTGCTTTGCAAACTTTTCAACTAGGGTACAGTGGGACGCGATTGGTTACTGTAGTGACATTTAATTTGACAAGGTCTGTTTTCTGAAGTGGAAATTTTCCTAAGAGTAGTCAGTGAAAGTCCTTTGATGCAGTAGTGAGAGAAGAATGGAGTCTGATGATAAAGAAAAGTCTAGTCTTATTATTTGATCAAGGCTTTTCATTTTGTGATTGAATAAAAAAATATTGGACTTCTCCTGACCTAAATTCTTTATATAGCCTAGTTTATTTACAACTAAAACTATAAGAAAACATTTGTAATATTATAAAGGACACAAACGGAGTAAAACAAAATACACTTTACTCTAACTCGACACGATTACAACTGAACTTCAAGCTATTACAGAATACTAAATAAACTAAAGCACAGCGGGAACAGGTCCCTAGAAGCACGTGCTAAAGCATATTATAACACCCTCCCTTTTATAGATAAGGAAAAGAAAACTAGCTTATAAATACACAATACGAATAAGCATGAATTGATAAAGAAAGTAACTGAGCTCTGTGATAACGCTCTAAAGGTCTTAGTGTTTTAAGTGTTCTTAGTGTTCATGGCTTCATGTCAAAACAAAGTCATTTAAGTGTTTTGGTGGACGTCACTGATGCACTGATCGTCTAAGCACCAGCTTGGGTGGTGACATCACTGCAGCTGAAGGAACTTCCAAGCCACTCAGAGACGAACTTCCTTGACTCGACGTAGGTAGACTAACTTCTCCAGAAGAACTTGTCTGCAACTCGTATGACTGTGCAAAAGAGGGAGCAGGCACCTCTGGTACCTCAGTAGATATCTTATTAGGTATCTCATCTGTTAATGGCGGTGATGGCTCATTTGTCAAACGTAGGTGAACACGGTTGCGACGCACAACATTGTAAGGCGTCTCGACCTTGTACGATCTCTTGTCCAGTCGCTTTCGTACAATTCCTTTCTGCCATTCGCACTTGCCCAAAAGGAGCAGTTTCAGTCTCACAGTATCTCCTCTCTTTAACGGATCCAGATCAATAGCCTCTCTGTTGTAATACTGAGCTTGTTGCTGTTTGCGCTGTTCAAGCTTGACTTGGCACCGCTCATTGTCTGGAACTGCCTGTGGTGCAAGCAGGTTAGCTGTCATTGGTAGTTGACTTCTAGCCCTTCTGTTGAAGAGGCGCTGTGCTGGACTAATTTGGATACCGGCAGATGGGGTGTTACGATGATTGAGTAAGGCTAGAAAAGCATTAGATCCACTGGACTTGCACTTTCTGAGAATTTTCTTTGCTTCCTTCACTGCACTCTCTGCTTTACCATTTCCTTGGCTGTGGTGTGGTCTGCTGGTCAGATGTTCAAAGTCCCAGTCTTTTGCGAATTTCAGGAAATCGTATGACGAAAATTGTGAACTGTTATCTGTCACCAGCTGCTTGGGAATACTATGGTGTGCAAAGTGGGCCTTTAACTTGCTCCACCATGGGCGGTCCTAAGCCCGGCTGAGAAAGGACGAAGGTTGGGCATAGGGTTAGCACCTCTACCCCGTAAAAGCTATGCTGCTACAGAAACACCAATGATGAATTGACAAACTCCACAAGTTCTGGGAGAAGAAGGGCTTTCCTCGCGAAGGTGCATGACGAGTTGCAGGGAAAACTGAAAGGAACCTGCAATGCTGACTACCCTTCTGTCGACCAGGAAAACCTTAAACATCGGAACTTGGAACATCAGAACAATGTTTGAGTCAGGGAAGACCACGGAACACCTGGCGGCGGGAGTTTGAAAAGGACATTAAAAGGACTGGACACACATGGAAACATCTTGAAAGGATAGCTCAGGACAGGGGAGACTGGAGAGTTGTTATTGGTGGCCTATGCTCCGGGAGGAGTAAAAGGGCCCAAGTAAGTAAGTAAGTTATCTGTCACCAGCTGCTTGGGAATACTATGGTGTGCAAAGTGGACCTTTAACTTCCTGATGACACACACCGATGAAGGAAATCTTAAATGGTCCAGTTCAAAGAAATCGCTGTAATAATTTGAGGTGACTTAGTAGGTTTTTCCTTCAAGCTCAAACAAATCTGCAGCCACTCGTTGCCAGGGTCGATTTGGTGTCTCAGGGGACATCATTGTTTCCTTGACTTGACCCCGCTCAAACTCTCGACATGCCTCACAGGTTGACACATAGTTCTTAATGTCAGCTGTCATCCCGGGCCAACAGAGACACTCACGGACTTTGTTTAGACAGCCATTAACCCCAAGATGTGAGTTGTGAATTTGTCTTAACAGCTCGCTCCTTGACGCTTGTGGAACCAAGATGCGTTCTCCCTTAAAGATGAGACCGTCCTGGATCGACATCTCATCACGCATGTTGAAGTAAGGAGAAATGACACTAGGCATGTTACTCTTATACTCTGGCCAGCCCTTCTGAATCACGGCTTTCAGCACTTGAAGAGAGTCATCTGCTTCAGTATCTCGCTGAATCTGCACAAGCCTTTCTTCCGATACAGGCAAATACTTCATCATGTTGATTGTCTCGAACTCATTCTCGTCTTGCTCACTGGCAGGGCGAAATGCTCTCAAGAGGGTATCGGCCAGAAACATCTTGCTTCCCTTCTCGTACCTCACCTCTAGGTCATACTTCTGAAGACGAATTATCATGCCTTGCGAACGCTTGGGGCACGGTGCAAGGGCTTCTTGAAAATTGATTCTAGCGGCTTGTGGTCGCTAAAAACAATAGTCTTATTGCCACACGTGTAGTTGTTAAACTTCTCCACGGCGAAAACAATCGCAAGCATTTCTTTTTCCATATGAGCATAATGGGTCTCAGTCTCTGTTAGTGCACAGCTTCCATAAGCAATGGGGTGACCGCCTTGCATCAGGGCTGCACCAAGACCAGCTTGACTGATGTCACATTGCACTGCTAATGGCTCCCCAGGCTTGCAGTAGGCTAGCACAGGAGCAGATGCGATAAGGCTCTTCACTTCACTCCAAGCACGTTCTTGCGTGTGGACCAACACCATTCAACATCTTTATGGGTAAGGTTGGGTAGTGGCTTCATTACGTCATACAGGTTTGGCAGGAAACGACTGAGGTAATTTACCATACCATTCAAACATGACACATCTTCAGGCTTTTCTGGTCGCGGCATTTCTGTAATTGCCTTGACTTTCTGTGGATCTGGCTTCAGGCCCTCTGATGTCAGAACATGTCCATGAAAAGGGACTTCCTTACACTTGTATTCCAATTTCGCGTGGTTGAGCTTTATGCCCCTCTGCTGCCACCTTTTCATTAAATCCTCCAGGGAACTATCGTGGTCAGCATCATCTCTTCCATAGATTAGTACGTCATCCGCAATACACTTCACACCAGGCAGGCCTAACAACTCTTGATTCAAATGCTTTTGAAATATCTCGCTCGAGACACACAGCCCATGCGGTAAATGAAGCCAGCCGTATCTCCCATGGGGAGTTGCAAAAGTTGTCAACGGACTAGACTCATCATCCAGCTCCAATTGCCAGAAAGTGGATGCGAGATCAACCTTTGTAAACACAGGAGCAATAACTTTCAGATCCTGCAACCTTTTGAGTTCTGCCTTGAATTTTTCCTTTACAGATACAGGTACTTTCCTGGCTGGGAGAACCACTGGTTGACAAACTGGATCAACTTGCAGATGAACCTTTCCGGGTAGCTTGCCAAGGCCATCATCAAATACATCTGGGTATTTGTTAGTAAGATCGTTTTCTAAATTCTCCACAACGCTAACAAAGTTCTCCTTGTGTATGGTCAACAGACCCATCTTCTCGGTAGCGTTTAAACCCAGGAGTAGANTCCTACTGTGCATGCTCAAAACCTGATATGTTTACAGAAAGCATATTTGCATGTTTTACTGCATCCATAATGCTTTGTCTCTAAATAGTATCCTAACATAATTGACAACATTACCCTCTCTGACAACAAGTTCAGACTTACATTTGGAATGGCCAAATTTAAGCCAACAACACCCGAGATGTCACAACATGTCACAACAGGGTAGCCAAACGCGCGCATCATGTTGCGCACAACAATGTTGTGATATGTTGCATTGAAATATTGTTATTGTTTGGCTGCATTTAATAATGTATGAGTTGGCAGGTATATATTACGCACATATAGCTTTCTTTGACTTCAGGACAATTGATATTTTATTACTTGAAGACAAGGTATTTGAAACCAAGCTCTATCCCTGCCATGAAAGGGGCCAGGGGAAAAAACTTTTTTCATTTCACTTGTCCATTGGATGAGTACTCTCTAGATTTTGGTTGTCCAAACATAAAATCCACTCATCCAAAAATAAATGACAAACAATGTGTTGCCTACTACCAAAACAATAACAGATAGTAGTAAAATGTAGGTACTAATAATCATCATTAATACTGAGATGACCAGAGTTTGACAATAACTCTTTTATGACTGAAATTCATGACATAGTCCTATCCTTAATCTGGAATGGATCTTTGTTTCAGAATCATCTGATGGCCACTGATGTCTTCCAGGAGTAATCAATTGAAAGACGATATTCTCAATCAAATTGCAGACCAGATAAAGGGAGTAAGTTAATGTGCAATGCCCTTCATAAAATTTGACATTAATTTCTTTAATCAGGTTAAAGCATTGGGATTCCATAAAATGTGGTTTATAACCCTTACAAATTAGGCATATAGATCATTAGGCATTAATTTTTCCTTTTGAGAATCTCTTCTTTCATTTTAGAAATGCAGTGGAACCTCTATTAAGCAGCCCCCTATTACATGTAGGTGGCAACCTTTATTTGGCGCCCAGCAGCTAAAGTCCCAGAAAACTTGTCAGCTATACACTGTAATGAAAACCTCTATTCAATGGCCACCTCTATTAAGCGGCTGCAGCCGGCTTTTTGCCATCCTAAGGGTTATTTTGTTTTGTTTTACACCTCTATTAAACGGCCAGGAAGATTTGAAGTTGAATGTTTTTAGCCAGATGAAGGTAAAAGAATGACATTGTGGAAACATAATTGTACCATTATTGTTCTTCTTCTTCTCCACTTGCATTTGTTTGTACTTATATTTGATAAACTGAAAACTGGACCACACCCAACATTGTTTTCGGGCGAACCTCTATTAAGCAGCCAGTTGTCTCGTCCCCGAGAGTGGCCACTTAATAGAGGTTCGACTGTATGTTGTCAAACTTCCTGTAAGCGACCACCAAAAATGTCAAGCCTAGGTGCTTGCTTACTGGAGGTGGTTGCTTACGAGAGCTTAGACCATATTGGGTCAAACATTTTTTACAAAGACAACAAGACATTGATTCCTTGACTGAAATTAAACTCTGAAAACAATGAAAAGGGAACGTGTTGACCATGCTGAACACTGTATTTTGATTTTTATACTCTAGTTCTGTTAAACTGTTGATTGTTCTTGAGAGAATAGTGAATTAGGAAATTAGTTCTAACTCTCTGTAATTAAAAGACATTTAAGGTTGTCTCTTTCAAGGCTGATAAGTTCAAATGTTGTTTAAAAAAATAAAATGTTCAAATATTGTTGTTTATAGTGGTCAATGCGCTTAGCTACACCTAGCTAGTTCACAGGCATGCCACTTTAAATGAAGGAAACAAATATATCAACTAAGCGTAATAGGCTTAAAAATCCCAACTGGCGGGAGGCAGACCAGCTGGCTATTTACAAGCATGACCGAGGAGTTGAACTAGGGTCTACCGAGAAACAACTCCAGCTAAGTGGTCNAGTTAATCACCGAATATAATAACATAAGTACTCAATATAATGACATAACCACCCAATATAATAAAAAAAGTATCATAAGACAGTTCTGGCATTCCATAGGGTTGACTATAATATGTATAATATGTATAATATTAGTGAGTCAGCAGTGCATTTTGGGTCAAGATAATTTGTTTGTGGTCCTTGTTCAGTGAACATTCAGCCACCTTTATTTCAAAGTTTGTTAGAGAAATACTATTTAAAATATTACTGTCTTATTTCTTTTGTTAGACTAGAGAAGATAGAATTTGGTTACTGGCCATTTGTTAAAGAGCTTACTCACTCAGAGACAGTAAAGCACATTGTAAATCACCCCCAAGTTACAACTGATTTAGACAAAGGTATGTAAACGATTTACATTAACTTGGACTTTTGTCATTTTAACAAAATAATAGACTCCATGGAACAGCATGTTTGTTCAGTAATTTATCACTGTGGTAAGAAAAATATGTGACACATGAGGCACTAGCCAAGTGTGCCACTGATGCTCTTACAACATTAATGTTGGCATCTTCTGGGATCAGTTACTGAACACAGGCACAGCAATATGGAATCTACATGTGTATTTGTTTAAAAGGAGAGGGTCACTCCAAAAAGCTTACTTTTTTGTCTACACCTATAGCAAGCAAACATTGGGTTTTTTCACTCACTAAAGTTTCAGCCTCTAAAGTGCCTGCTATCCTGAAGAAATTAGTCTTAAAAGAAGCCCAAAATTCGACTTAGGATGCCGCCAGTTTGAAACTGTTCTTGGCAGCCATGCCGTATTTATGTGAAGTCATTCCATCCAACTTGAAATTGGCAGTAAGCAGATAAACCTGCAACTGACTTGGCATCCTTCATTGGGTCAGCACAATCTATTTTTTCCAAGTGATTATCCACTTCTCTATCTTCACTGCGATCATTTTCAGGGTTTGGAGCATATAATATGGCTCAAGAGTAGCCATAACGTAGAGTGGTAGTTAAAAGGCTTGTTGGAAGTGATGGACAAAATCCTTTGGATGGAATGACATCAGGAAAGTGCAGCATGGCTGCTGAGTACTGTTCAAAATGGCGGCAATAATGTCCAATATTTGGCTTCTTTGGAGAAGAATTTCATAAGGAAAACGTACACTTTAGAGGCTGACACTTCGGTGAGTGGCTAAACTTAGTGCGAGGTTTCTATTAGTGTTGACAAAAAAAATTTGGAGTGACCTCCTTTAACTAATAAAGAAACAAAAAATGTTAATGATATTGTAGGCACCAGAATTTGTGTCATAGTTTCGTGTTTAGTGCTAAGTTTTCGCTTAATTAGTTTCCTTTGTTTTGTGGCCTTTTGTTACGTTATGTTCATTTGCATACTCTATATATGTTTGGTTGGCACGTAATTTATTTAGTTAGTAGTGGTTTTAGTTTCTGTCTACACCTTGTTTTGGAATTGCTCCAGTTTACAGTTCGTCTTTGGTTTTGAGGTTCATCACATTTGTTATCATGTTCAATCTTCGTATTAAGTGAAATTAAATTAAGCTATGGCAGGATTTGGATGCGTGTGATTAGCGTCTGTGACAACATTTGTAAAAGACTAATACATTTTGTTGGGTGTATGGTATTATTGTTGGACAATGCCCTGCAACAGCACAGATGTAAACCTGTCAAATTCTGTCGGCAAAAGTGGCCAGCCAGTTCAGCGCTCAATTACACGTGCTCATGAACTTAACTCTTCTGTGGATCAAGAGGGAATTGTCCTTGAACAGATCTGAGAGCTCAGAAAGTGGAGAGGAGGAGTGTTATTTGGCAGGGTCATTTGCTTCAGGAGACGGAGCTACGCCTCAAATGGCAAGAGTACGAGCCGCAGTTAAAAAAGGATAAATTAAACCTCAAAACAGAGTGCAATAAGGCTGTGGCTAGAGAGGGAGCTTATGCCCAACCAGAAGTGGGAAATTTTGTATCTAGCAATGTGACCTCCAGCCCTCCTTCTGCTGTCTCAATTCCATTCCCTGACACGAAGGAGTCAAGGGCTGATTGCCCGAAATGGGCACCACCTGTACCTTCTGACAAGAAAGTGAAATCGACTGTGAAGCCAAGCACCATGTTTAGTGATGAAGGGAGTGTTGCAAGCAGTTCCAGTTCAGGCTCTGACAAATCAGGACTGAGTGACCAGGCCTGTGAGATCCTCGTGCAACAAAACTGAGTGATGAAGGAATTCGTGAATCAACAGGAAGGAACTTGCTACCCAAGAGACATGTACCTGTTTTGATGGCAACCCCTTGGAATATTGCTCCTTTATGCACGCCTCTCAAACTTTAATTGAGGCTAGAAAACCTGATTATGCTGGGACGCTCTACTACCTAGAGCAGCACACAACTGGTAGAGCACAAGAGCTGGTGCATAGTTGTCTCTACATGAAACCCGAAGAAGGCTACCTACTTTTGGAGAGCAAATTTGGTCAGAAGCACAGGATTGCAATGGCCTATGTAAATAAAGTCATGAATGGACCGGTGATTAAGGCGAGGACGCTTAAGCTCTAGAGGATTTGCCATTTTGCTGTCCAGCTGTATGAACACACTCAAAGCTATTGGCTACTCAAGCAAGTCCAGATAACTTGTGAAAGATTGTTGAAAGGCTACCCTGGAAATTACAAGCTGGCGGAATGCTGCAGATGGCATCCTTACCACAGAAGCGAGAGATGTTTGTATCAATGATATTTCGCTGTTCGTTGAGCAGAAAGCACATACCTCGTCCAATCCCGTTTTTGGCAAACTTCCCTTCCTGGATGAGGAGAAGAAGAATAGCAAGGATAAGCATTCGAATTTGAAACCCGAGAATCCTGGTGGTAAACTGCTGAACTTCGTCACAATTTCTGAGAAGAAACCTTCACCTAGTTCATCCAATAATGTGTTAAGTCTAGCTGACTCTCCGAAAAGGAACTGTCCATTCTTTAATACAAATCACAACCTCACTGAATGTTCCAGTTTTGCCAAAGTGGCTGATACGGAGCATCATGACTTCTGATGAAGCAGAGGCTATGCTTTTCTTGCTTGAGAAGAGACCATCAGTCTAAAGGATGTTACAAGAAGAAACCCTGTATCTACTGTAATAGAAAGCATGCCACTGTGATACATGTGCCTACACCAGAAGTAGTTGTTGAAGCCAAGAATGGACAAGACAGGCCCCAGGGCAACAACAACCCGTCCAACACAGAGTAGCTCTGATCACTTTTGTGGTCTAGCTACGATGGAGGGCTCTGTCACTGCGTTGCCTATTATTGCAGTAAAGATTAAAGTCAGAGGAGGTCCTCTATGCACCGAGACCTATGCACTATTGGATAATGGATCTAACTCTGTTTGTTCGGCTAGCCTTTTGGAATGTCTCGGGATCAATGGCAAGAAAATGAAACCCAAGCTGACCACCATGCACAGCAGCAAAGACGTAGATAGTCTCATTGTTACGGCCCTGGTAGTGACAGATCGAGACAAGAATGTTGTCATTACCTTGCTGGAAGTACTTTCCAGACAAGCTTTGCCCATAGCGAAGGATAAAATCACGCGACAAGAAGATGTGGAACGATGGCTGCACCTTCAAGGTCATGTGTACTTGCCAGAATTGAATTCTGAAGTAGATTTGTTAATTGGAGCAAATGCTCCTGAAGCCCTTCAGTCCAGCGAAGGTATTCCTGCCTTTGATGGGGGCCCATATGTGACTAGAGGTGACCTTGGCTGGATCATCAATGGTACAACTGGAAGGAAACAGAAGTATCATCATACGAAGCCAGATAAAATAAGTGTTGTTTTCAACTGCTCTGCCCAGTTTCAAGGAACATTGCTGAGTAATGAACTGTTCCAAGGACCTGATTTAACCAACAATCTAGTGAGTGTACTGATTTGTTTCTGCCAAGAGCCAGTTGCGGTAATGGGTGATGTCCAATCAATGTTCCATCAAGTATGTGCTCCTGAAGCAGAACGAGACCTCCTGCAGTTTCTTTGGTGGCCCCAGGGTTACTTCTCCGAGAAATTAGAAGAGTACCGAATGACCGTACATCTTTTCGGTGTAGTCTCTTTGCCCAGCTGTCCTAATTACGCAATGCACACACATACATGATGAGGGTTCTGGCACAGCGGGTAGCAAGGGACAACAACCGTTCGAAAAAAGCCACCCAGCACCTTCTCCTCAGGCTAAAGCTTTATATGACGGTTTTCAAATATCCCAAAACACTTTCCAAGAATGGCTTCGTGTGTGGAGAATGGATGTATCCGAAAGGAATCCAAACAATAAAGATCTTTTAACGTTTGCAAGAGAAAACAAAGAAAAGATCACTGATTTGGTTGAACAAGAAACCCAAAGGTTAAATAGCGTTAAAGTTAGTTTTGGGTTAGAAGTAAAGTTTTCAATAGAAAGAAACGGTGAAACACAATACATGGGGCATTATTTTAAAGACGACAAACCGCATGTTTTCAAAAGGGATGATTAGGACCAGATAAAACAAAAATTTGATGAATTCATTGAAAATGCAAAAGGAGAAATAGAACACTGGTCCGAGAGGGGATCAGGATGGGTGGTTGAAAGGATACAAATCGCGTACGTGAATGTTGCGCGCTACCAGCCACTTCACGGAGGGACCTATTTGCCTCTTCCAGCCAAACT